GCTTTTCTTATCTCCGCCCTAAAGGTAGCCCCGATTATTGCTGACTTAAGCATCGGAGTGTCTACCCCGAGTTCCACCTCGGGGCTTTGCAGGTCATTCCGAAGTGCGAGTGCGGACTGAAGAAGGACTTCTGGTTTGGTGCAATTACACCATCCCTTCCATAAGCTCGTAATGAGCGTGGTCAAAATTCATTGATCATTGCCCAATGATTTGCTATTAAATCGATGGAGTACAAAAAAAGTCTATTTAGAATAAAAGAATTAGAGTAGAGTGGAAAAATCCAAGTTAAGCGGAATACCAACCAAAAACAGAAAGTAAAACCCTTGATTATTTTTTCTTCAAAATCTCTTCCAAGTTCTTGAAGTGAGTTACCTAATTTGTCCCTTCGAATTTGAAGAAAAATTCAAAGACCTGCACCCAAGGGGTGATTTGCAACCATTCGAAAAGTTTGAGTGTTTAAAAGCTTTTATTTTTAGTTAAAGGGCTAATGTGCCATCAAATAAAGAGTACAACGGCTAATGTTCTCCTTTGCCCTTTCGTTTTAGGTCTTGTTTTTTGAGGGTATTATATTCTGACAAGTGTCAGGTGGACACATGTCAAGAATTCATTGGTGTTGGCTATTAAAAAAAAAAGAGAGAAAGTAGTCAGTTGACCAGTCAAGAGTAAGTGTCCCATCCTAGTAAAAAGAAAAAGGGTTTACTCTAACTTTCCAGAGTTGGAGTTGGAGAGGAATTTGTTTGTTAATTTGGTGCCATTTCCCGACCGTGTTCATTGCGACCTGTTTTCATAAAATTGCATTTTCTCGAAGGGGTAACCTTAAAAATTTTAAAACAGCCTGTTACTCAACAGGAATGTTGTGGTATCAAGGCGTCCATTACGAGCTTGTAAGGCATTGCAACTATCGGGCTCAGGAAGGGATGGTTTTAGAACCATCTTCTGATGGCAATGCATTTCGTCACAAAAAGAGAAGCGTTTTTTTTTTTTTTTAATCTCTTGTTGTTGATTATGGTGGTTGTAGAAAGCCCAAGTTTCCTTTGGGTCCCAACTCCAATATGACCCCCAAGACTCATTAGCCCAGACTGCTCCAGAAAGAATCCCTATGGTTAAAAAGATAAATCCAAGCCTAATAATCCAATAACTCCAACGATCCAATTGTTGAGTCAATTGATATCTGTAATAATTGTGAGAAGAAAGAGAATACGTCTTTAGGAAAACATTGCTACTTTCATTCATGTGTTGAATTTTGTCACAGAAAACGATTCATTTAATAAATTTGTTTTTTTACCAAAAATCTTTATGACTTTTCGAAATGTAATGACTAGAAGAGCTACTGATAATAATGATCCACATAAAAGAGCTGCATAGCCTAATACCATCATACTTACGTGCATCATTAACCATTGAGATTGAAGAGCTGGTACTAATGTTGCGGATTGATGCATTTTGGTTAAAAGGCCCGAAGTAGCAAAGCCTTGAGTAAAAATAGCACTTGGTGCAGTTATTGCGCTTAAATCATTTTTATGCTTTTTAAAAGAGGAAGCCATATGAATAATGGAGAAACTCCATGAAAGAAAGATTAATGATTCATATAAATCACTTAATGGGAAATGTCCCCAATAAATCCAACGAGTAATTAATAATCCTGTTTCTTCTATTCAATCCTTTTCCTTCTTCTTGTTGCTAGATATCTCGTTCGTACACATCTTCTCTTTTTTTCCCGAGCCTATAGTGAGTTACAGACAGAGTTCGAAAAGGTCAAATCCTTGATGATTCCATCATACATGATTGAGTTGCGAAAACTTCTGGATAGGTATCCTCCATCTGAACTGAATTCTTTCAATTTAAAGAATCTCTTTCTAGTTGCTCTGGAACAATTAGGAGATTCTCTACTGGAACAATTCGAAGATTCTCTAGAAGAAATACAATATGATGACAATGATGATTCTGCTTATAGGATCAGAGAGTTGGATATCAATTTAAAGAATCTCTTTCTAGTTGCTCTAGAACAATTCGGAAATCATCTAGAAGAAATACGGTCTAAGAAGAAAGGTTGGAATATCAATATCAATCTCATCGATCTCAAGAAAACCCTATCAAAAACTGTTGCTTCTCTTGGTGAGGCTAGTAGCTTTAACTGCTTAATTTCGATCCTTTCAATTGAAACACACGGATGAAGTAGTCCACATCTGCTGCCAGTTCTCCTAGATGTTGATCCCTCCCTCTCAAAACAACTGCTTAAGGTGTATATTGGCGGATGCCAAGTTGATCCCTTCAACTAGGTTAAGAATTTTGCTAACTGAATTATAGACAAATTAGATTGAATCTCTTGCTTTGGTTAAGAGTTGTTGGGAAAAATAGCATAGTGAAACAAAATAGTTCTTATGAACAAAGCTTATGAACAATAATAAAAAATGATAAAACTAGCGGCTTTGTCGGCCAATGTTAATGGTTAGTGATAAAGGTGGTTTAGCTAGCCAAGCAAAATAAAATTGACAGTTTAACTAATCACTTGAGAAGAAAAAACAAGCGGAATAAAATAGGCAATTTAACCAATCACTTAAAGAGGAAAAATAAATAATAAAACAATACTAAATTTTATGTGGAAAAACCTTTAAAAAACTATTGAGGGAAAAACCACGAGACAAACTTTAAAAGATATTTCATTATGTGATAAAATTATACAAAGTATATACTCAAGTCTTTTTCTCTCTTGGTGTCTCCCACTCCCCCAAGATACAATCACAAGTCTAATAAACTCACAATTTTATAACTTAATGTACTCTCTTTGTAGAGCACACTTACACCTAAGCTTAATGCCTAGCTCTCATCCCCCCTCCCCCCCTTTTTTTTTTCACCTGGGCTCTCCTCTTGGAACTCACTCATTCACTTTGGTATTGCTTTGTTGCTTACTTGTTTGTTGCCTTTGCATGCATAGGTATTTATAGGGTGAAAACCTAACCACCCATGCATGATTTTCTATGCCTCATTAGATGCGTAAACTTGCAATGGTTGAAATTATCATGGAAACATTCAACAAGAGCTACTATAGGGGCATCCTTTTAACTATAAGGTGAGAAAATTTACCACATGGAAAGGCCATGTTTTCACATGGGTTGGACTTCTGCCAACAATCTCCTACTCTAGTCCATGGGAAGAGACTTACATCCCAACTCTTTACTTGGAGTCTATCTCGGCCATCTCCATGCAATATTCAAATTTTTCCTTGGGAAGAACTTTCGTCATCGTATTAGCAACATTGTTGTTTGTGTGAATCTTTCTGAGTTAAAACTACTTGTTCTTTGTCACTAAATGCAACCAATGATATCTAACATCTATGTGTTTTGTTAAGGCATGGTACATAGCATTCTTGCTCAAATCTAGAGCACTTTGGCTATCACAAAATCTATATACTCTTTTTGCCTCAATCCCAATTCTTGAAGGAATCCCTTCATCCAAAGCATTTCTTTATTAACTTCTCTAGAGACAGTGTATTTAGCTTCAATTATTGATAAGGCAACACACTTTTACCATTTTGATTGCCATGATATAGTGCCCCCTGCACAAGTGAATAAATACCCTAAAATAGCTTTCTATTATCAAGGTCACTTGACATGTTTGTATCTGTGTATCCTTTTAGAATTGGTTCAGTCTACTAAAAAGTCAAACACAACTCAGTGGTTCCTCTCAGATATTTGCAGGTCCACTTAACAGCTTTCCAGTGAATCTTGCTTGGACTAGACAAGAATCTATTTGCAACACCAACATGATCAATGTATGGCAATGTATATACCATTGCATACATTAGTGAACTAACTGTAGAAGAGTAAGGAATAGATAACATTTTCTCCTTTTCTTCTTTGGTACTTGGACAAGATCATTTACTTAGCTTGAAGTGATTTGCAAGAAGGCTACTAACTGGCTTGGCATGTTTCATGTTGAACCATTCAAGCATCTGTTCAACATTCTTTTCCTATGATAACCATAGGTTCCCAACCTTTTGATCATGGGTAATAGCCATACCCAAAATTTGCTTTGTTGGTCCCAAGTCCTTCATGTCAAAGGACTTTGATAACTCTTTTTTTAACATGCAAATCTTCTCGGCATCTTGTCCCAAAATCAACATATCATCAACATATAATAGAAGGGTAATGAAGTTGCCATCAAGAAATAATTTGGTGTACATACATGGATTTGTATTTGTTTTTTTATAACCATGACTCGTCATGAAAGAGTGAAACTTCTTATACCATTGTCTTGGAGCTTGCTTTAGTTTATACAAACCCTTCTTCAGTTTGCAAACCATATGCTCTTTCCCTTCTTCTTCAAAACCTTTTGGCTGATCCATATAAATTTCCTCATGCAATTCACCATGGAGAAATGTAGTTTTCACATCTAACTGCTCGAGCTCAAGATTCATGCTTGTTGTTAGACTGAGCACAACTCGAATCAAGCTCATATTCACCACTAGGGAAAATATTTCTTCAAAATCAATCCTTTTTTCTGATTGAAGCCTTTTACCACCAGCCAAGCCTTATATCTAATTGTCTTGTCACCATCTTTTTGGAGCTTGAACACCCACTTGTCCTTTAGGGTTTTTCTTCATTTGGGAAGTTCCCCAAGCTCATAAGTGTTGTTCTTAATGCAGGGAATTCATTTCTTCTTGCATGGCCTTCATCCAGCAGTCTTTATCTTTGTGAGACTATACCTTATGAAAGCTCTCCGGCTCCCTTTATTTGGTGATCAAGATATAATTAGAGTTAGGGTATCTTGTAGATGGTCTATGCTTTCTGGTGGACTTTCTCAACTGAGATCTTTCCTCTTGTGATAGGGATGGCTCCCCCTGCTCACTTGATGAAAGCATGAAAATATATATTTAAAGTGTGTTTAACCATTGACATTTGTAGAATTATGGGTGTAAGAGTTGTATTTTTCACAAGTAATTTCATAACTGTTCATTTTATTCATGTTGTGCAAATTTTTGATGATTGAAGCTTTAATAATCAAATGGAGAGAATTAGAAGAAAAGTACTTAAATGCAAAGAACCAGAAAGATGAGGGTCTAAGGATCAAATTTGGAAGTTTGAAGGTTCAGGAGGGATAGTAAAAGATGTTTTGCTTCCAAATTGATAAATTTTATTATCTTTTTGATTTTCTTGTTTTAGATACTCAATCTGAAGTCAATAGTGAGTCAAAGATTTCACTTATTTTAGGAAGACCATTTCTTGCTACTGCTAATGCTCTCATTAATTGTAGGAATGGTTTGATAAAACTTTCATTTAGGAATATGACTCTTGAGGTGAATATTTTTCATGTTGGGAAGCAACTACATGATGATGATGAGTGTCATCAAACCTACATGATAGATTCACTAGTTGAGGAAGTATATGAAAGAGAAACCTCTGAATCTTTAGAACACCTCCTTGATGACTTTGATTTAGATTCTGACTTTTTGAACTATCCTAGTAATGATCATTCTCATGTTTCTTCTATTTCTAATGTTATGTAGGATAAACATAGAAAATTTTTACAATTACACTTTGAGTAGTTGCTATATGATAGAAAACATTTGAATCCATTTTTAATGGAGATGCCAAGTGTAGAGTTATCCCCACTTTTTGAAGGATTGAAGCGTGCATTCTTGGGAGAGTCCTCCAAATTATTGGACAATGGTTGAAACATTATGTGGAGTGGGTAGACTAACCTGAGGAGATCATTTTTGTGGCTTTCATCTACAATGCTTAATCAGGTTTTATCTATCCATTGTATCATTTTATTCTTTTTTTGCTTTTCTTTTAGTAGTGTTTCATTTATTAGTTTTCTAGGTTTCTTTCCTTAGCTATTACTTTTATAGGTTTGCCTTTATTTCTTTTATTCTATGCCAATAACACTATCTTATTTAGGTTAGAGGTGGTTGCATTGCATGCACATTTTAGGCACACTTTTTATATATATTCTCTTAAAAAAAAAAAAGGACAAAAAAAGAAAGGAAAAGGAAGACCAACACTTGATTATTCCTTTTACTTTGGTAATTCTTGTATGAAGGGTTTGCAAAGTATGATTATTTCTGCATTTCTACCTAGGTATGATTTCAAAATTACTTAGTTTAAGTCACTTTCTCTATCTTGATTATTAAAGAGTAACTTCTAAAAACTTTTTTCTGCACAATGTTAAGCTTTGTGGTTAGATGGATGTTCAATATGTATAGTCAAGAGAATTATCAAGTTTAAGTGCACTGTTTTTGTTTTTTTTTTTACTCACACATCTTTTGTGAGTGAGTGGAGAGTTGAGAAAACAACTTATGAACTTTCATTGCTTAGTTGAATTGGTTAGTTGCTATTTAGAAGGTCACTACTCA